AGGGAGGGAGGGAGGGAGGGAGGGAGGGAGGGAGGGAGAGAGAGAGAGAGAGAGAGAGAGAGAGAGAGAGAGAGAGAGAGAGAACGAGAATATATGAACCAAGACATGGGGAGATTTTGCTTTTCCTCACAAATGTGTGAGGGTTTGGTGGCAAGGACAGAGTCAAGCACTCCTACACTCTACTTTTAGATTCTTGTCACCAGCACAGAGCTGTAGCTTTTAAATAACTTCCCTTCCACATCCGACTGTCAATGTCATACCTGGCTTATTTCCTGAGTGGTTGCTAGTTTGTCCTGAAACTGTAGAAGTGGGGCGGCTGGGGGCGGTTCTCTTCTCTTGCACTTTATAGCCATCAGACGCTACAGAGAGAGACAGAGAGAGACATTTCATTAGTCCCAAGCACTCAGAGGTTCAACATTTACTGTATCAGGTAGGAGGCTAGAGTCAAAACTACAAAGTAGTAGTAGTTACGACTCCCGCCTGAGGAGGGCGCTGTTCAGCAGAGTGACTGGTCCTGCATTAGTGACTTGCTCCAGGGCCTACAAGAGTACTCACCCCTTTCTGTCAACCTTCACAGAAAACTAAGTCTGTTTGTTGTTCGCTTGAGACAGAGTCTTGGATAGTAGGTATTGGGCTACCCTGGTGCTTACTATGTAGCTCAGGCTGGCCTCAAACTCACAAAAAGTTCTCCTGCCTGAGCTCCTGAAAGCTGAGATGATAGGAGATAGCCCTTGAACCCAGTTCTTAGAAGGTTCAAACATTAGGAATTTTAAGAATTCCATGAATGGAACCATTTGATCACCAAAATGGAACCAAGATAAAATATGCCAGGAGAAAGGCTCCGGCCCAGGTGCAAGCGTCACTGTTTAGTGCTGGGCTCCGATCACTCCTCACCCCTGCTGGGCAAGTGGGCTAGTCACACCCTTGCCGGGCAGGCGGGCTAGTCGGCCTTACCCTCAGTGCACCAGAGATCATCAGATAGAGACCTGTACCTGTTTTTCCAGATAAGCAAGTCCAAGCCTACAAAGTCATCACTGGCTTTTCTTTTTACACCTTGCATCTAACTTATTAGTCTTTCTGTTCTGCCTTAAAAAGCAACTGACCACCACATCTGAGCGTCTCTCCTCCAAGTGCCTCCGGTCACTTAACTAGTCTACCTGACCTCCAGGTGCCCTTCCGTCCGTTCACACATTCATGATACCATGTGAATACTTCAGACCTTCCCTCTGCTCAAAATTCTGTAGCAACAGCTCCCATCACGCCCAGAGAAAAAAATGCAAGGACTCTACCAAAGTCTAGAAAGTAGAGTGAGTTTAGGTCTTGATTGGGTTCTACTTCCCATTCATCTTTGTTCCAGGAGAACCAACTTCCTCCAGAGTCCATCCCAGACACTGAGCAAGTACCCAAAGGTTCTTGTTACAGATGGCAGCTGGGGTCTCTGCTCAATTGTGACATCAGAGTCCTCCTGGGCTATTTAAAAATGGTCCTCACCTCTCCTCCCTAGCCTACCCCACTTAACTGGCAGTCCTTACCCATGGAGATCTTAAGATCACTTCCTTTTCTAAGGTGACAGAACAGGATATTTATTATTACTATTATTATTAATTATAATATTTAGAGAAGAAGAGTCCACTGACCACGGGGTTTGAACCTAAACAGTGTGATGACAATTAGCCACCATGAAGACTAATTTTAAATCAGCTTTCTAAGATGTATGTCCTCCCTATTTTCTTGATCTCCAAGACAAGGTCTTAGTAAGTAGCTTTGGCTGGCCTGTGCTCACAGTCCAAGCCAGGCCTCTTACGGCACAGCCCCTGTCTCAGTTTCCCAAGCTGTGGCATCATATATAGGTGTGCACGGCACTGGGGAAAGCGGTGTTTACACGTGGACTGCAGAGACCCAACCCCTGCCCTCTAAGCCAGTCAAATACTGTTTTTTTTGTGACTATATTTCAATCACACATGGAATTTGCTAGCTAGGATCACACAACCTTTGCCTTCAGTGACAGGGTGATGACTGCCTTGTGCTTTATATACGGGGCTGTTTTTACCTTATATTCTGGAAGGCTTTGTAAAGATTCAGGAATCTCTGAATCATGAGTCAAAACAAATACCTCTTAAAAGAAAAATGATTCAGTGGAGAGGACATGTAGCAGGTAAAGCCCAGACCAAGTTGGGTTGGCCTACAGTCTCATAATTAGAGGCAGCCCCCCAAAACACCCAAAGTGGGATGTCATTGGAACCTTTGTTGTTCATTGTGACAGAGAAGCTCTTCCCTTATGTTGCAAATTAACTCTCAAAAATGGCTCACAATACTTAAATAGATGGGCCACAGGGCTTGGGAATGAGTGGATGGTGATTTTTTATTTTACTGTCCCTTCCAGCACATACTAAGTTAAGCCATTTATGAAAGCCTACAAACCCTCTACTTTTATGTCACCTTCCTGAAGTTTTTTTTGTTTTGTTTTTTGTTTTTATTTTGTTTTGTTCTTCTTTTTCGAGACAGGGTTTCTCTGTGTAGCCCTGGCTGTCCTGGAACTCACTCTGTAGACCAGGCTGGCCTCAAACTCAGAAATCCGCCTGCCTCTGCCTCCCAAGTGCTGGGATTAAAGGCGTGGGCCACCACTACCAGGCCCTGAAGTTTTATTATTAGTGGAAATGGGCAGATTCCTAGGGGTAAAACCCCTGACTGGCTCTCATCTGCTGGGTGACAGCAAGTATCTCTTAGATGTAGGCAGTACTGCTTCTCGTGAGGATGAACAGAGACAATGTCACTAACAGTTCACCCAGGCTTGTCACACAGAAGCAGTTTCTTCCAGCTTATGCCCTTCTGCAGTGTCCTGGGACTTCCATGTCAGCAGGGTGTTTTAGAGCCAGCAAACCTGTTTCTGTTGTGTGAACCCCTACATAACCCTTGAGCCAAGTCTTTTTTTTTTTTTTTTAAAGATTTATTTATTTTATTGATGAGTACACTGTAGCTGTCTTCAGACACACCAGAAGAGGTCATTGAATCTCATTACGGATGGTTGTGAGCCACCATGTGGTTGCTGGGATTTGAACTCAGGACCTCTGGAAGAGCAGTCATTGCTCTTAACCGCTAAGCCATCTCTCCAGCCCCGAGCCAAGTCTTAAGTTCCCTCTGGTAAACAAAGCTGAGACCCAAGGCTGTGAGACTTCTGAAATAATGTGAGGAGAGGCAACCAGATGCCTGGCTGGAAGTAAATCTTTCAAAGTCACATGGTTCTTTCTCGAGTCTTGCACACTCAGGGAAACTGGCTTTCCCTCTTCTCAGAGCTTTGGGGAAAGAAAATCTAGACTAACTTGGTAGCAGTGTTCCTGGTGGGCCAGCAACAGATTCAACAGATAAGAAAAGACTGAGCTTCTTATAAATTATTAATTTTAATTTTAGTAGTACAGGGAATTTCACCAGATAAGAACAACATGGGGTTGAAGAGTTAGCTCAGGAGTAGGGTGCCTTACCTCCCATGTGTGAGGCCCCGAGTTTGGTTTCAGGACCCGCTCACCAAAACAAACAAACAAACAAACAAAGCAAAAAACCCTCGCCAAACAACAAAAACAATAAAAACAACTTTATTTCCAGCTTTCTAAAATTAAAAAAAATTGACTCTTAGGAAATTTGTACCTAGGGCTACATATACCATCTTTAAACTTTTCGGTAGAAAAAAAAAAACCATTTTAAATGACTTAAGTGATGTTCCAATATTGTTTACTTGACTCTCTTCTTCATGTTCAAATAGGAAAACTGAGCCATGCACCATGATGCTCAGTAAGTTTTTGCTAGCCCTAAGAAACCTTGAATGATCTTCCTGCTCCCTTAAAAGCTCCATTCCATTAGTATCTAAACGAGCACTCTGGCATAAGGCCAAAAGGAAGCGCACAGACAAGATGCCTTGTGGACAGCCTCGGGACAGTCTCTCAGAGGCACTTAGAGCCAAAATACAGAGCAGCCATTGCTGAAGGCTGCCCTCTGCTAAAAATTGCACTGCTCCAGAGAAGCTGTGTGTGAGCCACTCCACAGTCCACACGGCTTGACCTCCCATGTTCTTGGCAATGGTCTCCCTTCAGAGGTCCTGGGGTGACTTCCCATGTTCCTTGCAATGGTCTCTTTTCAGAGGTCCTGGGTTCCACTGCTTTATTTAGACTTTTGAGTATATGATGGAAGTACTGTCTTTCAAAGGCTTGTTATAACTGGTCTAAGTGGCTCATTAGGTAAGAATTCATTTTCTACAGCACACTAAAAAATGATCTGGAGAATGAACCTAGGTTTTGTGCTTGTCAGCCAAGATCTCTACCACTGAGATAAATCTAGACCCTTGAAGGAAACTGGGTGTCAGGCTAGCTTTGAACTCATAATCCTACTTTAGCCTCCCTATTCCTGGGATTATAGAAGTAGAGCATTATGTATGGGTTTAGTTATGGGTTTTAATAAAATACAGATCATGGGCTGGGTGGCAGCAAAAGTTTAGAACTCAGTTCCTCTCTGTATAAGCATCTCAGTCTGTCTTCTAGTTGGTGTTTGTGGACATACAGCTTTGGGGTAATAACTGAGAACACATGACATCACTTTTTATCATAGTTGGATATTAGCAGTTTCATGTTTGAATTTCAATGTATCTGTTGTAAAAGTGAATGTAACAGATCAGTCACTGCTGTCCTTGGTTACGTACAATTGTTCCTCAGAGTTACTCATTCAACTATACCTTCCAGGATTGTCGTGACATATTACTCATAAACACTAAGTACTTATCCAATTTTAGTTACATAATTTACACTATATGAAGAAATAAAGCAATTTCATAACACCTACTGCCTTGACTATTGAGGGCCTTTCCTTTGTTTAACTTCTGAACCATAATCATTATGAGTTTGTGTAGCAACAATCCAAGGTTACAGGAGTGAGCACCAGATAAATACACATTTAACTCCACCCAGCCTCAGGCTTATTCTCCTTCAGATCCTTCAGACAGTACCCTACTAAAACAGGACACAGAAGGCTGGTTGTCAGAAATAGCACCATAGGTTGAGGAGCCCTTGGAGCTGTGAGGGAAAAGCAGCCTAGGCTAACTTGGTGACAGTGTTCCAAGCAACAGATGTAATACTGTGTAAATATAACTTCTATTCTGTAGTAACTGTCATCTCTGAGGCTTACCATCTCAGTCTGCTAACTTGGCCTAGTCCTGGAAGCTTCTAGCCTGTGTGCAATCTAATCTAGGCCTAAAATGCTTTCAGCCTCTGAAACTTGCTGCTGAATAAACTTACCCCTTCCTAGTTCTTTCTGAACTCTGGCTGGCTCATCAACAAAGCTGTTCTGGCTCAAACTCCTCTTCACGCTAACTGAT